TGACTGCCACACCCTCAAAGATGGCGGCACCCACAGCCAATAAGAAGGGAATATGCTAATTGACTGCCATGCCCTCAAAGATGGCGGTGCCCAGTCCCCTCAGCCCTGCTGGGGCGGCAGGCACATGGTAAGGCCGGGCCTACCCCCAGGCAGACCTGGCTGCTCCATGTGCCTGCCTCTGGAGCCCCCAGTCCCCCAGCTGCCCAGGGCCGCCCGAGGCTCAGGTAACCAGGGCCACCCGAGGCTCAGGTAACCAGGACCGGCCGAGGCTTGCGCTGCCGGCAGTGGCAGCAGCAGAGGTGTGATGGGGCATCGCCTTCCCCTGATCACCGGGTCGCCTCCCGCCCCTGAGGGCTCCCGGACGGTGAGAGGGGGCAGGCCGGGCAGAGGGCCCCCCCTCCAGGGCATGAATTTTCATGCACCGGGCCTCTAGTTAACAATAACAAGTTTGATCTCACGGCTCTGATTGGTTTCAAGGACCTCTAGGGGCCTATGAACCATACTTAGGAACTGTTGCTTTAATTTATTGGCTCATGGCTGCCTTCTGGTTATTTTCAAGAGCCTTTTTATAAAAGCATGACTTTTTTCAGCATTTTCAAAGTGATAGAAAACTCCACTCCAGCCCTCCATTCTTCCATAGTCCACGGCCTCCCACCGCGTCCCCAAACCGACTGAAACTCGGTACCTGCTTGCAGGTGTAGCTGCAATGCTCACACTTGAACTTCTTCTCGCTCCTATGAGTTTTCTGGTGCTGAAGGAGGCCATAGCGGTCGTGGAAGACAGCAGGACAGTAGCGGCACTCCATCCCTGCGGCTTTGTAAGTGTGCAGGTTGCGTATATGGACCCCTAAAACCGTTACAGGACGTTATATTTGGGGGTGTTATTTCCTGTGAGGCTGCTCTAAGCCAGGGTTCCTCACGCAGCACTATTAGCACAGGGAGGGTGCGGGACCTTTAGCAGCACCCCTGGCCTCTGCCCACTAGATGCCAGCAGCATCCTTTCCTTCTCACAACCAAAATACTACGAAGCTGCACTTATGCAAACCAGCCACCAGAGGGCACCACAGGACTTCTGGAAAAAATACAAGTTCCCAGACTAGTTCCTGCAGCCCAGCTGCCTCCCTGGCATGAGGCCCAGGGCTCCACAGGCTCCCCTGCAGAAGGAAGTTCAGCAACTCAAACACTCACGCAGGTCACTCTTCCTGGCGATGAGCGCGGCGCAGTGCGGACACTGGTACTTGGGGACGTTCTCGCTGTGCTTCTGCACGATGTGTATTTTCATGGTGCCGCTCTGGGTGAAGCGCGCGTGGCACACGTGGCACTCGTAGGGCTTCTCGCCTGCAGGGTGACGACAAAGACGACCCTCGGCAGCGGGGCCTCACGCCGCACGCCTCATCCTCCCCAAAGGACACTGGGGCTGAAAGCTTGTCTTTTGTTCCCTGGGCCCCTTCTTCAACCCCTTCCTCCTATGTCCACCCCCAATTAGTACAAAATTCCCAAGTCGAGTCCAGACCGCCATCTAGTTCCCATCCTCAGTGTAAGGAGCTGAGAAGCACATATGAACACATTGCTTCTACAACGCAATATAAAGTACGTGCACGCTGGGACCAGGGCTCTGTTTTACGTGCTTCCAGGTTGAGGATGCGTTAAGGAGCTGACTTTTAAATCCTGAACAACCAATGGCGGCAAATGCTTGATGGTGTCTTCCTCGTCACAGCGGCGTGACAGCACAGGGCTTACGTGGTCTCCTGGACGCCGCATAAACTCAAAGGCACAGAGCGAGTCCCCAGGCCGAGAAGGCGCGGAGACACTCACCCTGACGCTCGAACCTGAAGAGTAAGTCTTACCAGCTCACTTCTGAACTGAGACGTGGCCTCCAGCGTGAGCCCCTCTTACCTGAGTGTGTCCTCATGTGTCGTTTCAGCTTGTGGGTGTCCTTGCTGGCGTAGCTGCAGAGGTGGCACTGATAGGGACGCTCCCCCGTGTGTGACCGGATGTGGCGCTTCAACTTACTCGCCTAGTAAACACATGGAAGGTACTTGTTTGCAAGAGAAACCAGAGAATTTTAGATCCAATCTATCAGCATTATAGAGAGAGATCGACATTTTAACCTCAGACCATACTTGGCACCCTGAGAAACGAGAAGAGGTCATTCCTTTTTATCTTCTGTTGCGAATGACTGTTTTTCATTTGACGTGCGTTTAAGATCCTTCGGGAGCAACCAGCAGTAGTTTCCAGAGACTCTCAGATTCAACTTCACGTTCCACAGGGAACACTGCAAGCTGGCCACTCGGTGCCGCTCGGGATTGATTTCCATTTCCAAGGCCGCTTACACTCGGGCGGCAAAGTTTAGGCCGTGGCGCAGAAGCACAGAGCAGGGCGCTTTCGTTTGCATAAGTAACAGGAGGATTTTGAAACATTCGCTCTCTGAGAGGCAGACACCTGTCTGAGGCCCTTCTCAGGTTCTGGGGGCCCACGTGGCCATCAGAGATGGTGCCATGTGCCTGGAGTTTCTTTACAATGAGTCACTTTTAAGTGAAAGAACGTACATTCTAATTTGATTAATTACGTACCCCAGGCAACCAGTTAGAAGGCAAACCGCCCATTACCTCCCATTTGATCACTTTTGCCTGATGGTTCTGTTACCCGCCAGAACCAGGGCAGGGGTGACGGAAGTCAGAGAGCCCGCATGCCCTGCCTGTGGTCTCTGGGTCTCATTCCCCAATAAGTGACATGCACACATAAGCCCGAAGAACATTCAAGAACAAATGAAGACTTAGATCTAAACCAAAAGCATTAGATTTTTTTTTCCAGATGAAAAGTAGATGTCTTCAAGTACAGTGGGGCCTTGACTTACGAGTGTCCCGACTAACGACTTTTTCGAGATACGAGCCATCTCTCGGCCGATATTTTGCTTTGAGTTGCGAGCTAAAATTCGGGTTACGAGCCAGCTTCAGATACCCCACCGCTAGTTGGCGCAGCGAACGTCACAGTGAACGCCACAACATCAGCCCAGCATCATGTGTCTGTCTCGTTCACTTCTTGATTTGACATACGAGTAATTTGAGTTACGAGCTCCGTCACGGAACGAATTAAACTCATAAGTCAAGGCCCCACTGTATATCAGAAAGTGAAACAAAAAGAATTTTTAAGTTGATAGCATGAAAGATTTGATGAAGGGCTGTGATGATCAAAGGCAGCTATGTGTCAAGCTCCTCCGGATGGCTTCTCAGGGGAGGGTGTGGGAGGGGGCGCTCAGAGCTTTCACATGATGTCTTGGGCACCCCAGCGTGATGCATTCCTGCCGGCGTCTGTGTGAGAAATGGCGTGGGGGTGCGGGGAGCTTAGGACGCCCTGCTTAAAGCAGACCAGTATGGCAAGACTTGGAAACTTCATAAAACGGGGTCACGTGTGCCAGGCCGGCCAGTCCACAGGCTGCGTGCAGATGGCGGGCTCCGGACGAGGGTCTCAGTGCACCTCCATGTTTGCGCTCAGAACCCTTAGGACACCAACCGAAGTCCACTCCAGGCTCGAGCGTCTCAGATGGCCTTGTTCTTTGAAACTTTCATTTTTGTGTTTTCAAACTAAAGTGACAACCTTTAACTCGGATGGGAAAGAACTTTCAAAAATAGTAAGAGCAGAAAAAAATTCTTGGAATCAGAGTCTGACCCTGTCCGTGAAATTCCCTCGTGTGTGAAATGAGGTTGCATCATTCCCCTCTTTCAACGTTAGTCGTGCCCTTTAACTTAGTTCCCTTCCGGAGTGCAGTATCCTGTCCCAACTGGGCTTAAAACCAGGTCCCACAGGTGTCCCGACAGACAGTGGAGTCCTTTAAAATTCCTCGTAGAATAGACAGTGAAAGCAATGGTCACGTTCGTTCGTCTCATCCAGCGAGCGGCTGAGCCTGCTAGAAGGTCTAAATGAAAGGATCTGGTTGATATGACTTGGACACATGACTGACGTTTGAAACACTCGGTTCCTCTGTAGTATCAGGGGATGGTATGTTTAAACCTTCAAGCAAGTCGCTTTGTATCTGACCAAGAGCCACTGAGGCAAAAGTGTCAGCCACCCTGCAGCCTGGATCTGGGGTCTGTGTGGAGCGGATACATTTGCGTCTGTGGACCTGAGCGCTCCCTAACATACGAGGGAGAGCTTTGAACATAATTTGAGATTTATTTCCCAAGCACCTCACGCAGTTCTATTTGTAATTTGTACACTTTTATATATTGCTTTTGCTAACAGGTAATCAAAGCAAAAAGAAATCCAATTTTCTATTTTCAATTTAGAAAATTGAATGACTGTTATTTCCTGCATAGACTGTGTATGAATAATATCTTTAATAAAACCTCTTTTGTAAGGGATTCTGCTGTTAGTTTAATGTAACATAATTTACAGCAACTTCTTAAGACGCCACGAAGCTTTAAGCACACGTGTGAACTTACTTCTACGCTTGCATACTTGCACGTGGAACACTTAAACGGCTTCTCGTGAGTGTGTCTGTACCGTCTGTGCCGGATGAGCTCTCCGCTGGTGACAAATGCCATGTCACAGTCGCCACACTTGTGCGGCCTGGTTCCTGTAAAATCACACAGTTTATCCTGTTCAGCAAGATTTCACCACAAGTTTCCTCAGAAATGTATAATGGCTGGATTACACTCAGCCTCAACATGCATGACATGTGACGAAGAGGCTTGCTCTGTAAACCTTACACAGGCCAGGCAGAGGCGAGAAAAATCTTTGTAACATCAGTGTTGTTAACTGAAATGGCAGAAAACAAGACAAAACTGAAGTCTAAAGCAACACGTTATCTTAACATAGAACAGGTTGCATGCGCCTTCCTAACGCCTTCACACGCGTCACTCGGGGCCGCGTCCTGCTCGGCGGTCACCTGTGTGGGTGTTGATGTGGTTCCGCAGGAGGGTGACCGTGCGGAAGGCTTTCAGGCACAGGTGACACTCGTGCGGCCTCTCGTTGGTGTGGGTTTTCACGTGGCGGTTTAAGCTCGCCGCCCTGGCCGTGGTGAACATGCACAGGTCGCAGTGGAAGGCCTGCTCTCTGCCTGCGGGAAGGAGACACAGTTGATGCTTCTGTAACAACCTCTTTGTGTTCCAGTTTCTCTTGGGGGTGATGAGGGTACACTGGGGTTAGACAGTGGCCGTAAGTGCACACACTTGTGAATACGTTAAAAACCCGAAATGAGCTGGGAATTGGGATTTTGGGGGCACAATCTCTTGATTGAAATATATGAGAAACTACTATATAGCGAGGGTTGCAAATTCAACCGCCGACGGGAACCAGCGGCGGTACTGCTAAGCGAGTGACCTGGACCACCGGCCGTGGTGGCAGTGTGACTTTCTAAACCAAGTCACTTCCCAGCCCAGCCACCTGCTGCAGGAGCAAGGAAACAGAGCCAAGTGTTGCCAAATAGGACTTAAAAAAAATGAGGTAAAATTTGAGATTTGGAGGGTGAACTCTTAATTTAAACAAGTAAGAAATTATTTTTTTAAAAAGCCAAACAAATAATTTCGAAGGTCAAATTCATCCTGTGGGCTGCCAAGATTCAATCTCAGTTTTTTTAATTTGTCGTTAATCCTCACCCAAGGATATTTTTTTTCCATTGATTTTTAGAGAGAAAGGGAGGGAGGAGGGGAAGAGAGAGAGAGAAAGAGAGAGAGGGAGAGAAACATTGATGTGAGAGAAACACTTCGATTAGATGCCTCCCAACCGGGTCTGGGGATCAAATCTTCAGCCAAGGTACATGTACTCTTGACCGGGAATCGAACCAGACACCCTCAGTGCACAGGTGGGTGCTCTAACCACTGAACCACACCAGGGCTCAACCTCAGTTTTAACATAACTTTAAGGTCCTTCCTAATCTCGCCTGATCTCCCTCTTTGAGCACCATCCAGTCTCATTATGAAGCCACACCCACAGGCCACTTCCTGCTGCCTGGACGGTGGTCCCCACTGAGTGGTTTCCTAGTCCTTTCCTGGCCTCACCTCACCTTCCTCTCCCCCAGAGGCGCCTCTGCTGCCTTCTCCACATCACTCCTCCTGGACGGGGAGCGGCTGCACACTGGGGAGTGGATCAAAGCCCAACATTCTATGGACATGCACGGCACTTTGCAGGAGCATTTTCTACGCTTTTAAAACATTTGTGTGCAAAATGCAAAACGCTTGGCTCTGATGCACAGTATACAACATCAGTTTAACATTTCTCCCACTTCCTGACATTCTGAGAGCAACCAGAAGTCAACCACTTAACACTTCAACAGCAGCCAGCTTTATGCAGGGTCTGTCACACCACGAACCCGCCTACCCTTGGTCTTCTGTTGAGTTTTTGGAGAGTTGGCTGTTTCAACAGGTGGCTGACTAGAAGCAAGATGATCTTCTGTTTCTTGCGCGTTTAAGTTTGAAACTGCCAGAACAACTTCCTGTCCCCGCGTTGCTTCCAGAAGAAAGAACTCGTCTTGCGCTTGCTGGACGCCTCCTTCAGCTGGCAGCGGGTCCTCCTCCGGACTGTCCTCAAGCTAATAAATAAAAACGAGCGTTCAGACAAAACGACACGTAAATCACAACCCGACTCAACGCTTTGCCTTGATGACACCAAGGAATACATAACGAAAAAGAAAACTAAAGTAGCATATAAGGTTGTCCATGGCAATCAGCATGCTTAAGCATAATTATTAAGCATCAAGGAGTTTTGGTGGTAAAACAATACTATTTTATTTTTAAAAAAATATATTTTATTGATTTTAGATGAAGGGGAAGGGAGAGGGATAGAGAGTTAGAAACATCGATGAGAGAGAAACATCGATCAGCTGCCTCCTGCACACTCCCTACTGGGGATGTGCCCACAACCAAGGTACATGCCCTTGACCGGAATCGAACCTGGGACCCTTCAGTCCGCAGGCCGACGCTCTATCCACTGAGCCAAACCGGTCAGGGCAAAACAACACTATTTTTAAAAAGACTGCACAGTGTCACCTGATAGTATTCTAATTGGTGGAACTCTTTAAACTCTTAAAAAGAGCACGTGGTCTCCAGGATTTTTCTGGGAATTATTTCAGTGTGGTTCATTTGTCCCTACATAATACGGCACAAAAGGCAACCTAAAAAACAAGTTTGTTTTGTAAAACTCCACGTGAGGGGTCCGTTTTTTAAAACCAGCCGTACCTTAATCAGTTCAGCGCTTTCGGACGGGCTCTCCGCACACGGGCTGTCCTCAGGGGCCAGGGCCACGCTGTCCTGCAGGACCTGGAGCTGCATGGGCTCCATCGCCTGCAGCGAGTACAGCTCGTCCTGGATGCTGATGGTCACGCACTGGTGCAGGCTCTGCCGGGCCCCCTCCCGCACCCACAGCAGCGAGGGCAACGCGCTGCCCGCCTGCGGCATCATCCCTGGCCCCCCTTCTTGGTGCTGTGGCATCTGACAGCCGACCTCCTGCAGCTCCCCGTCTTCGAAGGTGGGGTACACCGCCTGGAGGGTCAGGATGTGCCTCCCGTCGTCCTCCACGGCGGCGGGCACCAGCTCCTGCTCTCCCTCGGAGATCTGGGTCAGGAGAGCCCCATAGGTGCACTCGGCCTCCACTCCCCTGGGGTTTGGGGGCTCCTTCGCTCTGCGCACGACACCCTCCTGCTCCTCCTCCTGGGCCTTTTCTGGTACCAATTCTAGCTCTTTGATTTTGGTGAATTGCCTGGAAGGGCCCGAGACCTCCGTCCTTGCCATTTTGACTCGGCCTGTTTGAGAAAGAAGCAAGCAGTCGGTGGGGCACACCGAGGTTTGGCCCCAGCAGGCTTTGGGGCTGACCTCAGAGGCTTTAGCCTCACAGGAGTCAGGACTAAGCTGACTCAGTAGAGGCCTAGGAGGGGCTGAGCCTCAGCAGGATAGGCTAAAGCAGGCATTTGTTCAGCACATTCTAGAACCGACAGATTTGGGCTTGAGCAGGTTTTCAGCGAATGCACGACCTAGGACAAGCAAGGTGGCCTGAGCAAGCTTTCCACCATTGCACAGTTCCAGACTGAGCACCATTTGAGCCACCCGGGCCTTGGGCCTGGAGTCTTGAGCCCACACCCACTTGGCAGACGGAGTATGCGCACCCGCACTCCCGGCCCCTCCCCGGCCCGGCCCCTCCACACCGCCCAGCCCG